ACGTTCAACTGACTGAGCCAGCCAGGTGCCCCGTGGAAAGCTTTTCTTTATAAAACACCAGGAAATAAAGAAACACCACAAACAGCGTGTCCAGGTGAAGGCAGAGCTGGGCTTGCAGGAAGGAGGGGCCCCCCAGAGGCCCAGATGAAGCCAGAGATGGTGAGGGTGTGAGTGTGGCGGTGTAGACAGAGAGGCATTGCAGGCCCTGGGACCAGGGGTCTGGATGTGGATCCCCCCATGGGGACAAGGGGTGTGGCCTTGAGGGTGGAGGGCCCAGACCCCTGCAGACTGTAGCCTCATGGAAGGATGAAGCGGACGACACCCCCCCCCCCCCCGCCCGGGGCAGGGGCAATTGTCTGCCTGGTGGAAGAGGCGAAACAGGGAGAGGTGCGGGCTGTGGTCTTTCCAGAACGGATTAAAAAAAAAAGAAGCATCATCAGAATCAGGAAGCCCAGTGACCCCAGCAGGCCCGGGCCCTGGGCGCGGATCACTGGTGCCTGAGACCCAGGCTCTGGGTCTCAGCAAAGGCTTGTGCAGGGTGGGGTGGGCAGGGGGGATGTTTATAGAATGAATGAATGACGTGGAGCCCAAACAAGATGGGAGATGAAACCCAAGTCTGGCTTTAGACGAGGCTAGGAATTCACAGCCTCCACCCACCCCTCCACTCCTACCTTCTGAGGACCCCGGAATGGGCTGGGCACAGGGGAGGGGTTCTCAGGGACAAGGGAGCATCTCGGGCAAGGGTATTGAGCATCTGGGGTGTCTCGTGTTTGCCCAGGGAGCCCTCACGGCTTTGCCCCAGCCTGACACTCCAAAGCCAAATGCCCAGGCCCATGCCAGCCCTGGGGAACCCCCCCCCCAACAAAGAGTCTGCAGGGACACGATCAGGCCCGGGCCAGTGCGGGCAGCTGGGAGGTGACCAGGAAAGCAAATGGCCTCTGTTCCGTTCGCTTCCCACCCAATGGGAAGAGTCGGCCGCACTATTCCTCCAGCATCACGAGTCCCTGGAGCCCAGTATCCAAATGTGTGCAGAGCCGGGGCCGGGCTATTTTTAGCAGAGTCGGAGGGAGGTGATCTAAGGCTGAATCAGCTGGGGGGTTACAGTCCCTGAATCAACCTGGGAAGCCAGGCCCCCGGCACATCCCCCTCCTGCTGCACGTGCCTCAGTGCTGCCCCCAGACGCCCCGGGCCCCCGGTTTTGGGTGTCTGCGTGTGTCCAGAGGGGACAGTGGTGTGACCACAGTCGGCCTGCATCCCTGGGGCCGGCCTTCCTTTTCCTTTGGAACTTTTACCGAGGAACCACTGTCAAGCTCTTCAGAGAAAAGGCGGGCTGGGCTGTGTGCTGGGGCTACCCGTCTGGCCAGGGGCCGTTTGGCTCATGACCCTGCGGTCACTCAGCTCAGGCCTCCCGGCGGGCAGTGACCTCCCTCTTCTGTGGTTATCCATCCTTAAAGGCAGCGGAAATCTGACCCGTTCTGTACGGGTTCCTGCGGCCACTGTAAAAAAAAAGATGGTCACAAACTGGGTGGCTTCAGACAACAGAAACTTGGGGCACCTGGGGTCTCCGTCTTTGGTTACGCGTCCGACTTCAGCTCAGGCCATGATCTCAGGGTCTGTAAGTTCGAGCCCCGCATCCGGGTTCTGCTTGGGATCCTCTCTCTCTCCGCCTCTCTGCCCCTTCCCTGCTCGCGCTCTTTCCCAAAACAAATAAAAATTTTTTTTAAGAAAAAAAATTTTTTTAAGAAAAAACAAGTAATAATAATCATAAAACAAAACAGAAATTTCTCCTCTCCGTTCTAGGGGGCCCGAGGTCTGGGACGGGCATGTGGGTCCCCAGGCGCCCGGGGAGGCCAGAGCTGAGGGCACTTCCTGGCCTCTTTCAGCCTCAGGGGCTCCCTCTGTCTGCACACGGCCTTTCCCCTGCATGTGTCTGGGTCCAAGTGTCCCTCTTGTTATTTTTATTTTTACATTTTAATGTTGATTTATTTATTTTTCGGAGAGACAGAGTGCGAGCAGGGGAGGGGCAGAGAGAGAGGGAGACACAGAATCTGAAACAGGCTCCAGGCTCCGAGCTGTCAGCACAGAGCCCAACATGGGGCCCGAACCCATGAACCGCAAGATCATGCCCTGAGCTGAAGTCAGACACTTAACCGACTGAGCCCCCCGGGCGCCCCTTCCCTCTTGTTTAAGGACCCCAGTCGTTGGACTCAGGGCCCGCCCCCATCTAGTAGGACTTCATCTTAATCACATCTGCCAAGGCGCTCTCTCCAAATGAGGCCACGTTGGCAGGTACTGGAGGTTAGGACTTTGACATACCTTTTGGGGGACACAATTCAAGCCGCAACACTCTCCATCTGGTTCTACCCGAGCACAGCCGCCCCTCCCCCTCCCCCAGCAGCTGTGGCCCCGAGAAGGCCCTCCAGGCTTGAGGTCAGAGCATCCGGCATCGGTTCTGGGCAGCAGGGTCAGGGGGTCGGGAGTCTCCCGGTCCTCACCTGCCAGGAAGGGGTGATGAGCCCCTTGATCCTGGAGCTGCTGGAAGCAGTCCTGAGCCTCACAGCCCAGTAGCCCGCCCCCGCCCCCCCCCCCAACTGCTCACCCCTGTTTCCTCTCCCTCCTCGTTCGCGGACCTGGGCCTGCCTGACCTTGTTCCCTCCTCAACCCCCGTGTGTCCTATTTCCTGTATTTCACGCAGGGGGGACAAGACGTGCAAAGTTGGGTGGGGCCCCTCGGCCAAGGTTGGGGTTTGAGGGGCTGGTGGAACCCCGTGAGGACACGGGGACACCAGGACACGAGGAGGTGAGTCCCCCGGTTCCGGCCGCTCTGCCCCCGGCCCCGCCCGGCCCCGCCCCAGCTAAGGGGACACCCCAGTGACCAAGAGAAGAAACCAAAGGGACAGTGCCTCCCAAGCCACTGCAGAGACCGTAGGGGACCCTGCCCACCCCCCCCCACCCCCCCGCCAGCCTCCCCAGGCGGGTGCTTGTCAAAAGCCTCCCAACCCTCTCTCCTGCCCTTGAACTTGGGACTCAAGAACTGGAGTCGGCTGGGGCCTGTGTGCCTTCTTTGCTCCGGGCTGGCCCCGGCCTCCCCCTTCTTCCTTCCCAGGTTCATTGACTGCATCCCCACGGGCCCTGGGCTGGCCAGACGGGAGGGGAGGGGCAGCCTCAAATGAGGCCTCCCGCAGGCAGGGCCTCCACCCCATCCGCCCTCTGAGAGCAGAGCTGGGAGGTGGGGGGGTCTCAGAGAGGAGCCACCCCAGGGGTTCACGTCAGGTGCTTGGGAGAAACTTCTGATGCCAGGCCCTGCTCAGAGCCTAGGTGTCACCGGTCTGGATGTGGGGACCACGGAGGCTCCCCAGGGTGAGTCCAAAGGCTGGGGAGGGGCGTCATCAGACCGGTTTCCTCCCCCATCAGCAGGAGGATGAGTCACCTCCCTGGACCTTTACTTCCTCCCCTGTTCAGGGGGAGGGGGCACTGGTGGGAGGAAGGGCCAGGGAAGGGCCGCAGAACTCAGCCTCCCCCCGACTCCTACTGGCCTCTGGGTCTACGTCTGGCCTGCAGCCTCTGCCCAAGGTCCGCTTCTCCTTCTCTTCCCACTGGCCAGCACCCCTCTCCCTCCGCCCCCTCCCCTCCGCCCCCCCTCCGCCCGCCCCACCCCGCCTGAGCTCAAAGCTTGACAGGATTCAGAAGTAGGCTCCTATACAAAGAGCTCTTAAAACCCAACAATAAGAAACAAAGAACTGATCAAAAACTGGGCAGAAGGCTGAAGAGACTCGTCACAGAGAAGATCAAAGGTGGGGCGTAGGCATATGAAAAGATGCCCCACATCCTGGGCCATCAGGGAATTACAAATTAAAAATCAATTCAAAATAAGTGGAGGGGGCGCCCGGGTGGCTCAGTCGGTTAAGCACCTGACTTGGGCTCAGGTCACGATCTCATGGTTGGTGAGTTTGACATGAACTCTGTGCTGACAGCTCAGAGCCTGGAACCTGCTTCAGATTCCGTGTCTCCCTCTCTCTGCTCCTCCCCAGCTCGTGCTCTGTCTCTCTCTGCCTCTCTAAAATAAGCAAACTTAAAAAAACATTTTTAAAAAGTGACAAATTCTGTGTCCGACTGTCATCCCTGCATCTGGGGTACCGTGAATGCCCAGTATTAGCTAGTATTTGTCATGATCGGGCCCATGACAGATTTTTTTCACAATATCTTTCATCACAATATTTTTGTGCTCTCTGACCTCCCAGCGGCCAGCCCGAGGTGAGCAGAACCGGGTGCGGCCCCCCGTTGAGTAGGGTCCCTGGAGTCACAATGCGGGGCACCCGCGGGGACTCCTCTTAGGCAGCCCGACCCAGGGAGCAGCAGCTCTGCAGCCGCGAGTCCCCTATGGGCCAACCCAGGGCCCCAGGGTATCCACAACCCCCCCCCACGCCCTGGGAGGCCCAGGAAAAGATGAGAAACAGCACCCTCCTCCTCTGCATCTCACATCCCAATAAAATATTTATTTCAAGAAATAAATCTTTAAAAAAGAGAGAGAGAAAAGAGTGTCTCTATTGCTTTCCCCCGACAGGTCAGGTCCTTGGCGACCACTGTGTTTCCGCAGCCGAAGGGGCCGCCCAGGCCCAGAGGGGGTCTCGCATGGGAAGCCCCCCCGCCCCCGCCCCGGGCCCATCTCGGCTTGTCCCCTCTCCCGGCGCCCAGGGCTGCCTCCTTGGCAGGGTGGAGGGGCGGGCCTGGTTGGGGGGGGATTATAAAACAGGGGTGGGGGGGTGGCAGTGTCTCTGGGGGCCTGACCCGTCTATTCAGACAGGGCTCTGGGCCTGGGCTGGGGGGGGGGGG